TATGTTTCGGGCCACCCAGGAAAGGGTGTCCTGCGTCTAAACAGAGAATGAGCAAGTGGGTGGTCGAGGCTACCTCACTTGCTTATGAGTCGGCTGGCCAGCCTTCACCTTTGGTTGTCCGAGCTCACTCTACCAGGAGTATGGCTGCTTCTAAAGCTCTTTTGTCGGGGGTTTCCCTGAGTGATGTTTGTGATGCGGCTGGATGGTCTTCACCGCATACTTTTATTAAGTTCTATGACCTAGACTTAAGCTCTACCCCTGGGGCACAGGTGCTCTCGTCCTCTGTGCGCTAGTCTCACATGACGGTCATTTGGTCCTATGGCGACGTGGGTATTCGCGTTCCCGCAGCGTTTGACGCAGCTCGAAGTTCCCTTGAAAGGGAACGTCTCGGTTACGTATGTAACCCTAGTTCCCTGATAGGGAACGAGACGCTGCGTCGCTCCGCCATACTCCCGGCACTCCCGTTAGCGCTTCCTTCAAGCCTATCAGAAGCTAATACGCTTGTGTTTTTGGGGTGCTTTATAGTTTCCTGGTCGATGACGTCACCCGCCTATGACGTTTCATCTCTCCATTGGGCTGATTCCATACGTGCTTCATGACGCACAACGCAGGGGCGTTCCCGCAGCGTTTGACGCAGCGTCTCGTTCCCTATCAGGGAACTAGGGTTACATACGTAACCGAGACGTTTTTTTACCTGAAAGACCAAGTCTGTTCATCAGTGCAGGTGTACAAAATACTGCAGTGCTACCTTGATCCAGAAAAGCATAAGTAATCACAGTCTTATTTCCTTTTTTAGATTTAACTTGTACAGGAACTATGGAAAGTTTACATTCAAATTCACCAGCCCCAATAAATCCACTGGACTCAACAGATTCCGGAACACTGCCCATTACAGTGTCCATTTGTCTCCTGATGGGTTTTGAATCGATCTCCTTTTCTCTTGGGTAGATGTGAAGTATACTTGGGTGCCTAAGATTACACACTTTACATGAAAGGCGATTTCTACAATCTCTACTGACGTGCCCTGTGCACATACAGCCAAAACAAACACCATTCTCTTTTAAGAACGTAATCTTCTCACCATGACTCCTCTTTTCCAATAGAGGGCACATATCCAGAGCATGTCCACGTCTACAAAACAAACAACTCTTGTTGCTGGGTGAAACGATATCTTTTTTGCTGGTTCCAATTTCTGATTTATTTTCCATTGCTGTAACGGTAGTAGCAAAACTGCTTCTTTTAGATTTAAGATAAGACTGAGACTTGCCTTTGTTCAACAATTTACTTCCTGTTAATGCTGGACCATCCTGTATGTCTCCGAAAACTGGATCAGTCATTATTTTTACTTGTCTTTCAACAAAGTTAACAATGTCGCTGAAGGTAGCTCTTTGATTGACAGCTTCCTGCAATTCACAGACTTCAGATCTCCATTTTTCCCTCAATTTGTATGGTAATTTCTTCACTACAGTCAACATATTAGAGGGCGTATCCAACTCGTGAAAATACTGAATATCTTCCATGGAGTTACAACAGCTTCTTAGGAACAGATTGTAATCCTGTAAAGCTCTGACATCTTCACTTTTGATATTTGCCCATAAAAGAGCCTTTTCCATATAGGTAGATGCAATTATATACTGGTCACCAAAATGCTCTTGTAGTAAACCTTTGGCCCTTAAATACCCACGGTCAGCAGGCATATGCTGGCAACTTTTTATAATCTCTTTTGGATGACCCCTGGTATACTGTTCAAGAAAGCATAAGCGATCGCTAGGGCTTTCAGTTTTACGCTCCACACCACTTTCAAAGGATTTCATGAAGGCATGATATTGCAGAGGGTTTCCATCAAACACTTGAATTTCCCTTTTAGGCAAAGATGACAAACACTTTTGTTGAATCAGTAAAGATGTAATTTCATTTTGCACTGCCTCCAGTTATTCAGGTTGCAGGACTGCCGAATGACTAAAGAAACCTTTTCAGCAAGATGGTAGAAAAGCGCAGTTACAATAGCTTAATATGTGGGAGAGCGTTGCTATAGGTAAGGCAAGTTTATTTATATAGCACATTTCATACACTATGGCAATTCAAAGTGCTTTACAGAAGGTATTAAAATAATCACAAAATAAAAGCAAGGAAAATTAAAACAGCTATAAAAGAAATTATAACTATGTGTATCATCACATATTGCGAGTGTGTAGAACTCCAGGAACATTTAATATTCAACAATATTATTGATCTGCCTTACTTAAGGTGGACGATGACGCAATTTTCTTCTAGAAACAAACTTTGTTGTATTATTTTCATGTTATCACTGTGAAGCTGCTTTGATACAATCTGTATTGTAAAAAGCGCTATATAAATAAAGGTGACTGGACTTGACTAGTAAGAGGCAAAGAGAGAGAATAAGAGACAGAGCAACTGTTACAATCTTTTTTTATCCCTTCCTTAACCATGTGACCAAAACCCAAATGTGAGACGTTCAAACTGACCAATCAGATCATTGCAATTCCCCCATCGTACCAAAGGTGTGACGTTTAGAAGACACCCGATGTCCACATATCTTGGACTACAGGCCTTGATCACTATCAGCACATCTTTGCCTTTAGGATCTCAAATGGTCCTTGGGGTAAGAAAGGGGGTTGAAAACAGTAAAGCAAATGTCTTTGTTCATTTTCAAATATCTTTGATTATTTTCAACCTTATAAGTCCAGCTCTCTGTAAAGTCTCCTCCAGCACATCCCAAAGACTTTAATGAATTTCAGGGCCCGTATTCATAAAGAATCTTAATGCAAAGAGTTAGCCTAGGAAAACCCAGACCACTTCCGGCAAATTTAGATTTGCTCTGCAAGTAGGTCTGGAAAAGAGCTCATTGAAGTCCATTTCCAATCCGTCGGGCACCAATCAGAAACGTTGGGACGGGCTTTACACGATGACGACAGCACAGCGACGGTGAAGCAGATTTTTTACATTTACAAAGATGAATGCCGCTGTGGAACTATGTGTGACGGTTGTAGTTGAACACCGTCATTAGAACTCTATAACCGCCAAAACCATGTTATTAAAATATTTTTTTTCACAAACATTTATCATAGAGAATGTTTAAATACTAATATCAGCTTACGAGGGAAACGGAGGCGGAGTTAAGCCCCGTTCACACTACAAGCGACAAAGCGACACGATACCATTCATTTCAATGGGGAGCTGGCGATTTCCGGCGACCGGATGGGGCGTGTCTGGCGACACGACAAAGTTGAGATCTGTTTAACTTTATGCAAATGGGGAGCGACTTTCGGGAGCTACAACCAATAGGAGCGGAGCGCGTATGATCCTTCTCCACATCATTGGATGTCATTCATAAAGGCAACCAGTAGTGGGAACTCCCACTAGCGACCTCATCGCCAGCCACTGGCGACATGCAGCGACAAAGTCGCTTGTAGTGTGAACGGGGCTTTAGTGGTGCGATCGGAGGCTGCTACTGCTGGAGATGATTCGGGAGAGGTCTGTGCCCCTTTACCGATCAGAGCGCGCGCTGACACGGAGTAAAGCCTTGTTTATACTCGACGCGTCCGCACGAGCGCGAAGGTGCGCGGGGCAAAAATCACGCGTTCGGTGCTCAAGACCGGCAAGACCCCATTTCGCTTGCCTGTGTGCACGGGTATTTTGTAACAGCGAGCGCGGCGCCGCATCCGAGGATGAACGACTTCAAGCCGAATCTGCCCGAGCCGTTCGTCTCACACCACCGGCACCCAGTTTGCGCGTCTAAATTGCAAAGTTTTTTTGTTAAGGTTTTGTTTACTGTGTGTGATTTATTTAATGGAAAGCACATTCACTTCCAGTTGTCTTGCTGTTAATTTTAAATAAACGTAGAGCAAGTAGCTAATCAGTGTCTGCTCGTTTATTCATTTCAAACCAAGTTGTTAAACAGACGAACGTCGCTCTGCATACGTCATCTTCATCGCTCTGATTGGTTTTAGGTCTATCCAATTGCTCCAAGAGGCATTTGAGCTACGTCCGTTGGTGACGCCCCTTTGGAAGTGATTTGTTTATGAAGCTTTGCCAGACCCTAACTCAGTTACAACTGAGAATGGTCTGGTTTTAACCAGGCTAGCAAAGAGTCGCTCCTAGTGACAAAATTCTAAGAAAATTCTTAGTAATGTGGGGTACGGACGAGGACTTTTAAGAGGCTTAAGAGTTTCTTTAGCAGAGGAGAGATGGCAGAAAGACGAAGAGGGAGAAGAAATGTGTGGCAGACAATGGATGACAGTGAGTTAATAAGACGCTATAGATTGACACCCGGCCCGAATGTTCCTTTAAGGATGGCCTTGTGTTCATCCACTAACTGGGATAACAGTAAACACTGTTCCTCTGTCCAGTCGGGCTTTCTCGTCCTTCTTGGTTCTGATTCCATGTTTGTTACATTAAAACCAACATTCAAACCAACACTTAAATAGACATGCCAGCAATCAGTGTAACTGGAAAGAGTGGAACAAGTTTTATCATTCTAAGCCAATCAAATACCTTATAGGAAATTAACAGCATGGTAAATAAAAAAAAGGATTTATATACACAAATATAATGTGTGTGTGTGTGTGTGTGTGTGTGTGTGAGAGAGAGAGAGAGAGAGAGAGAGAGAGAGAGAGAGAGAGAGAGAGAGAGAGAGAGAGAGAGAGAGAGAGAGAGAGAGAGAGAGAGAGAGAGAGAGAGAGAGAGAGAGAGAGAGAGAGAGAGCGGTCAAATAGGAAAAATTACGCATGTAATTTCAAAGTGAAGGCTTTGAAGCCGAGACTCCTACGTAAAAGTTTTTAAGCTAAATTAAGAGTTTTCTGAGAGGATTCTTAGGATCTTTATGAATACGGGCCTTTATGAATCTGGACTGAGAGGAGCCGATTCATGCTTCACTTGTATATACAGGTACATCACAATAGAGAAGAAAAGAGCACCGCAACTTCCGTTTCATGCCGACTTTAAACTTTAAAATGCTGATGTAATGTGTTTCTCTGCAGGTGAGGCTCATGACCGGGACGTTCAGGTGGTGGAGCTGCCCATTGTCGACAGTCTTCACCCCAGACCCCCGTACCTTCCGCTCGCTATCCCAGAAGACCTCGCTCCCCGACTGCAGCGTCTGCACGGTGACCCGTCCGTCTGGTGGGTGTCTCAGTTCGTCAAGTACCTGGTCCGACCTCAGGCCTGGCTGGAGAAGGAGATCCAAGAAACCTGTGTCAAACTGGGCTTTAAACACCCTATTATTGGGTCGGTACATCTCTCATCTTCTCTCAGTCTATCAGATAATCATTTTATTTGTCTTCTCACATTCCGTGTGTGTGTGTGTGTGTGTGTGTTATCTGTGCCCGTGGCAGACGCGTCTGGGTGGGTGTTACGCTGATAAAACACTGCGAGATAAAGATGATGACACATGATAGTGACAATGAACATGAACATGGCTCACAATCATGATGAAATTAATGAGAATAACTGAGAATTGAATGATTGCGGCCCCATGGGAAGCATCATTCTCTCATGACAGCGCTGTGAAATATAATAACCCAAATAATATAATAAAGTAAATCTGCATAGAGATCAGATGAAAAGAGAGAGATAGACAAATACTAATGTGTTTGGTACCGGTACATATAAAGGACTTGATTTCTGCTCCTGTTTCTGAAAATCTTCCTGTCAGTTTAATTTGAATGCAATTTTTAAAATTAAAAATATGTAAAGCATCAGTGAAGTATTGAAGTTCAGTGCGTGTGTCGTTCTTCAAATCATGTGTTTGTTGATGCTGTGCTAGTGCTTATTTTCACTGATAAATGATCAGACTTTCAGACTTACCTGGCAAATTATATATATATGTGAAAAAAGATGAATTGATTTGCTTATATGAAGTAACTGGATATGTTAGGAATAAATGAACATGCAAAGGAGAAGTGTTCACTGCAAAAATTATGTTCTTCCTCAGTATTTTTGTCAAATTTTTCACAAATTTCGAAACATTCTTAAATCAAGATATATGTACTTGAGTTTCACAGTCACTAAAGATTATAAGTCTTGATTTCTGAAAAAAAATAATTATCAAAATTATGTTACTTTTAGCTCAAACGAGAAAAAAAAAAGCAAAAAGTCAGAAAAATAAACTTAATTTTAAGGGAATTTTTCTGACCCCACTCACTTGCAGATTTTTTTCTTCTTGTTTTAAGCAAAAACTTCACTTGATTTTGATACATTTTTTAGATAAAAAAAGTAATATCTTAAAGGTGCATTGCGCAACATTTCATGTTAAAAATACCCGTTTTTCTAACCCATACATGCTTAAACAATTGCCTGATGGGCTGAATGAGCCCTTCTCTGATCACTGCGATTGCCTCTGTAAGGATTCAGGGCGGATCTAATCCGTGGGGAATTTGCATATAATAATTAATAATTGGTAATTAATAATTATTCATACATGTTTGGAGTAGATCAGTCTTACATGTTAATAAATCTCCCGATAAGGGAGGATCTGTCATTTTACCTGCATGCATGCATGTGAATCCTTGAAATTAACCACAAGTTGATTGCAATTAATTACACGGACCACGTTTCACAAAACAGGTAAAATGAATTAGCTCAATTGTCAGGATAATATTTGTGGGGATCCACCATATCATCTTACTTTATAGGATTTCAGGAAACGCAATTCTCTGGCCAGAAGAATTGGGTTTCCTGCCCTATAAACACAACACATACTCTTTAAGGTATTTTTAATTTTAGTAAGCTTGTAGCATAAGATCTTTGGCACTTAAGTGACTTGAAACTGAGCAAAGAGACTGTACATCAATCAAATGAATATATAATTAATTTAATAGAGGCATGACTACTTATGTATTTACTACGGTTACACGGGATATATGTATTTACAAACACATAGACATCAATGAACAATACAATAAGACATCAATGAACGAGAAATGCGTAAAGTTTGGACAATGGATAACTTACACGCGTGAGCGAGTAAGAGAGAGAGAAAGGGGGAGGGGGAGAGAGAGAGAGAGAACATTGGCAGAATTTCATTGGCAGAAAGACATTCACCTCTCCGATTACAACACGAAACATCATCTTCAAACTTCTTAGAAGCTCTATAAAGAGATTATACTTGCACAAGTTATGTTATGGTCTCTCTGTGCGTCGAGGCATTCCTGTACGGCCCTGTCTGGCCGCGTGAGCTGAGTCCTTTGTGTGTGAGGAAGCGTCACGTGGGCTGCTTGGCGCACGTGTTGAACGGAGGTTTACAGTCTTTGGGGTAACATTTCCAAAGGGAAATAGTTCGGCTAAGGAAGTGAACTGAGTCGACTACGGAAAACAAAACTTTGACTAACAAAAAGGAAATAAAGATCTCGACGGGGAAATCATGCGGAGTTAACGTTACATCTTTGCATGGCTGGTGAAGAAGCGCGTGCGTCGCTCGGTCCGGCGCGTCACGCGGTCACGTGCGCGTGTTTCTCCTTCAAAGCGAGCGCGCGCTCGTTTAAAGGTCCCTTGTAGATGGATTTGCTGAAGAGATATGTCACGGGGTTTTCTTTTCAATCGTCGATTGGAATTAAACACAGAGACTTATCTACAACTGAAAAACACATACTAAACTAGAAACAAATAAAAGAAAGGCGAAGAGCTCGCCCGGAGGCGAGACGTTACATTATGACACGAGGACAAGGGAGGAAGAGAGCGTCCAGAGGGAGGTTCAGTCCTCTTTAGAGGAACTGGAGTCCACACCTCTGAGGTGCGAACTGTCCAATGACATTCAACGAAACTTTTGGCGGCCAAATTCTCTTTGTCTTGTCAAAGTTAAACTATGGCCGTGTCCGCCTCTTTTATGACCAGTCAGAATTTGTCAGAATCATTCCACAAGATGGTAAAAACATAGAAAACATACATTTTACTGTAATCTTCTGTATCTGACCAAATCAGTTGGAACGAGATAATTAAAACGGTACCAAACAAAACATTTACACATAATTGGAATACGAAGATACATCTTAATACATAACTATAAACTCTCAAGAGTTTCACTGATACGCTAGGAGATCATATCTAGACTACCATGGACTGGGAAACACACAGACATACAGGAATATATCGTATACAATTGGTAATGGCTCGTTTTATGAGTGTAATGTAAAGGTCCATCATGTGTGTGTGTTGGTTTGTGTGTGTGTGTGTGTTAGAGTTCTGTTATCTCTCTTGCAGAGATAGGGGAGGGCATGGAATGTTCAAGCATTTTATGACTCTGGCCATTCCTGAGAGAGAGAGTGTGTGTGTGTGTTGTACACACGTTCTTGCTTGAGGAAAGGGGGAAGTCAACTGACAGTCCATACCTTACACTCTATAATCCTGTACAGTAAAATAAATTAGAGGGATTCGGGGCGGAATTTGAGACTGGCCGTGACGTCATGCGCGTTCACGCTCACCTGGCTATGACCGGCAGGTTTGTGTATTCGCCGCCATTCTCCGTATCAGCGAAGACAACTCGAGCGACAAAACTTTAGTCAACTTTCAACAAAAGTAGATGATGGATTTAAAGAGTTCATTCCAAACCCCAACGCAAACTCCACGTAAGACAAAGAAAAGAAAACGTTTGTCTAGTGCCACCAAAAGGGCCAAATTGGAGTCAGACAGGCGTCGGAATAAGATAAGAGTCAACATCGGGAAGGCTTTCAACAAATGGAGAGATCTCCGGTCTGCTCTAGGGCTCAAACGGGATCCTCAGTTGGCTTTTACAAAGTAATAACTTATATTGTTCATGAACGTGTTTCCATAATAATACAATCATAAGTGGATACAGTAAACACATAAAACAGTTCAACATGGAGATAGATGGAAACAAAAACCGAAGTTTTCTACTACCCCCGTTTTCCCCTCACACATAAGTGTGTGATTTACTCAAATGCCTTTGCTTTCATAGATTTAAAATGACTTGGAGATTTATAACTTTATTACCTCTGAAGACATTATGACTGTAAACAAAAGATTTGTGCGGCTGATGCTCCTTTGGTTATGAACAGCTCGTGCAAGCGTGCGTGTGCGTGTGGTCCATGAGCGTGCACACCTCTGGTTGCAGTTTCGCTTGTCGCCAGAGGGGGCATAGTTCTGCAAAAACTCAGAGACTTGCGCAATGCACCTTTAAGTAATTTTGCTTTGCAAGTAAATGCATCTTGATTTAAGAATGTTTGTATATGTACTAGAAAACAAGACTAAAATAGTGAGGATGATCATCATTTTTTGCCGTGTTGCTTTGCATGATATGTGATATAGATCATTATAAATGACATTAATTTCCATGTTTTCATTGTTGAGACTACATAAGTAGCTCAAACAGTTTTGACATGTATGCATTTGGCAGATGCTTTTATCCAAAGTGACTTACATTGTGTAACCCTGGTTAAGTAATTGTTTTACAGATATTATTTATTTTTATGTTGCTTGAATTGAATGTTATGATTATTCATAAATGTGAAATTCTATACAAAATAATATAAATATATATCTGAATTGAGTTAAGTTATGAGTATCCACCAATCGGAGCGTTTGGTTGCTGGCTCCGCCCCTTGCTTACGAATAGCGTTGCGCAGATTAGACAACAGATGCAGAGCGACGGAGATATCTGATCTGACTAGAGCAATCTGACGAGAGAGTGTTACAATTGAACTGATATAGTTCTTAAACTGTTCAAAGCTCATAAAAACGGAAAAAATCTGAGAAGTAAGATAGTAGATGACCTTTTATGATTGTCAATCGGGCACTTCAGAGTTTACATTGACATCCTCTGTTGTTTTGTATTGTTACTTTGTGATTAAAAAAAAAAAAAAAAGAAAATACAAAAGAGAAAGGATCACTAAATACAAAAAGTAAAGTTACCTTTTAAGGTTCAACCTACCTTCTGTCTCTGCCTGTTTTCTCAGCATCACCACCACCTCCGTTTTCGTACCAAGCAGTCTTCTGATTTTATTTGTCTGGTCCATTAGTGAGTTAATACCCGCTACAACTGTGGCGAGCCAGCCAGGAGGTGGCGCTGTTTCTGAGTATTAACAGCTGTGATGTGAACGATTAAATTAGCATTTTTTGATTCTTAACCAACAAAAATGGACATAGTTGAGGCAGAGGGTATTAAAGTCCCGAACTCTGTGATTGTAAGTGGCTTGACAAAAACCGAAAGTGATGATGAGTTAATTGACATCCTGAAAAAGTATGGTTCTTTTGCCAGAACCATTTTCATTAGT